GGCAGGGGAAGGTTACTGTAAAATCCCCATTCCCTCCCCACTCCTGGGGGAGGGATACTGTAAAATCCTCCTTCCCTCTCCACCCCGCTAACCTGCCTTCCAGCTCCATTCTCCTGTGCAGGACAACCAAAGAAGACTCAGCCGATCAGCTGGGACTCAATGGGAGGCGGAGAAGAGATGGGGGCAGGGCCAGTTGGAGGCCATATTGGCCAGTTCTCCGAACTACTCAAAATTCCCGCTACTGGTTCTCCAGAACTGGTCATAACCGGCTGAATATCACCTGTGCAGCTATCTATCATCTATCCATCTCTATCTATCTATCTATCTATCTATCTATCTATCTATCTATCTATCTATCTATCTATCTATCTATCTATCATCTATCTGTCTGTCTGTCTGTCTATCATCTATCTATCTATCTATCATCTATCATCTATCTATCTATCTATCTATCATCTATCTATCATCTATCCATCTATCTATCATCTATCCATCCCTATCTATCTATCTATCTATCTATCTATCTATCTATCTATCTATCTATCTATCATCTATCTATCTATCTATCTATCTATCTATCTATCTATCTATCTATCTCATTTACATGTCTACCATCTATCTATCTGTCTCTTTCTCTCATCTATCTGCCTATCATCTATCCATCCATATCTGTCTGTCTATCTGTCATCCATCCATATACCTACCTACCTAAATAATCTTTTCTTTCAGCACTTAGCCAGGGTACATCCTCCATGTTAAATCTAATCACTTTTTCTTCTCTTTTTTTGTACACTAGATTTGTTGTTGTTGTTGTTGTTAGAGCTGGATGCCTGTTTTTGCTTTGTTTCCTTTTGTTTGTTTGCTTTACTGTTCTGCATTTTATTCTCTACACTAAAACAATACATTTAAATTAAGAAAAAAAGGAAACACCACCCCAGCATCTACATTCGGCCACAATCAGGCTCACTTTATTGATTCATACACTGATTCGTGGGGCTGCCTCCTCAGTGGCTGAGCAGCCTGCAAGAAACGCAGACGGCTCTATAATTCCCAGGAAACCCTTTTTTTAAGCAGAGCTAAATGCTAAAACATCTCAAAAAGAAAAAAGAAAGACCCCCCCCCCACTTTCTTAACGGAGCTCAAGCTGCTGTTCTTCTTCTCCCTCCGCAGCCCTAAATTCAGCCGAAGCTGCCCCACAGAGTTCGGCCTTTGCCTACAGTGCAAGCTGCAACTTCGAGTCCCCACAGCAGCAACAGCAGCAGACCCTGAAGAACGGCGTGGCAGACCAACACACGATTGTCAGCATGAGCGACGGAGGTAGAGAAAGATCTCCTCATCAAGGCAGGGAGGCAGCTGCATTTGGGGGTGGGCGACGGAGGGAGATAAGTCCATTTGGGGCAGGGTGAGCTGCTGTCGTCTTGCTTGTAGCTGTATCCCCTGCAGAGCTCCCGATGGAAAGTCGGTGTTGGCTGCCAACCTTTGACCATTGGATTATCCTGGCAGAGAAATCTTATTCCGGGGGTCCCCAAAACTTGTCGACTTTAAGACTTGCGGACTTCAACTCCCAACTCTCCAGCTGGCTGGGGAATTCTGGGAGTTGGAAGTCCACAAGTCTTAAAGTCGACAAGTTTTGAGACTTCTGCTTTATTGGAAGTATTGGATAAATCCTCCACTAATATCACCCAGAACGCCTTTTCGATTCGAGTAGAAAAAAAAATCTTCATGCAAAATCATAAGCACTTTGGGAGGTTCCCCCCCCCCCCCTTTATTTTGTAATTTTTTTGGGGAATACAGGGGGGGGGGGGGAATATTCCTAAAATAAAGAGGAAGGAGAAGAAAGCATAAAATATCTCTGTGCTTTTGCTGTCTCGTCAATATCCTACAGAAGGAGAACGAATCTGGCCCTCTAATGCTTGAAATTCTTCTTCTTTCTAAGAATTTCAAGCATTAGAGGGCCAGATTGCATAAGGGGGAGGACTGTCCAGTACGCAGTTTCCTTTCCCAGACTTGCATACGTTCTTTCGCTTTTTTCCCTTAAGCCGTCATGATTCATAATGTCGCGTTTAGATGATATCGCTGTAACTGTTCCCGCTTGGTTTCGTGTCGTCGATTATGCGGAATTTCTCTGGCCAAACTCACGAGTTTCCGCGAGGAAGCGGGGAAGAGCCAAAGAAAGGGTTGCTATTTCGTCCCTTCCCTTCTCCCTTTGCCTGCAGCCCCCTCGTCGCGGAAAATTTATGACACCCGGGAAGCAGGCGTGGGCCAGGATTCGAGCACCACCATCGACTTCGACGAGGACAAATACCGGCGGAGACCGACACTCAGCTGGCTCGCCCAGCTGCTCAAGTGAGTCCCGTCCCCCCCAAAAAAAACCCCACTTCCCGTCTCGTTGGTGTGGGAGCTGGCTCTCCCAAGCGATGCTAGTGGTACCGAGGGCCGCTGAGGTCAGGGGAGGGCCAAAAGCGACGGGAAGGAAAGTCACAAAAACGAAGCGAGAGGGCTCCATTTTCCCTGTGACGTCCTCTTGGTTTGCATGTTCATGAGCCTCTGTTGAGCGCGGGTGCCAAACTCTGCCTTGGCTTCCGAGCAGGTTGGCAACTGGGGAACAAGCCGACGTCGTGCGGTTGCACGTCTGTGGAGAAGGCTCAGTCCTCCCCCAAAGGTAACTGGATTTCTTTCTCCTTGGTTTGTTTCCTTGAAGAAACATTTTGCTTCTCATCCAGAACTGAAGCCGCTTCTTGGATGGAGAAGCGAAATGTTTTCAAGGGGTGGTGGGAGAAAAAAACCCAGTTGCCTTTCGGAAAAGCAGGGGTGGGATTCCAAACCAGGTTGTAATTACGGTTCAGATCCAGCGGACTTTGGAATAGTTTTTCTGGTTCTGCTCTCTTGATTATTCTGGGTTCTCTCCTGGCAGCTTCCTCCTTCCTTCTCCCCTGGTGCAGGACGGGATCTCACGGCAAGCCAGCCAACAGTTTTAAAAGCATTCCCAATATGCAAAATTCAGATCAGAACCCCGGAGGAGGAGGAGGGGACAGAGCTCAGTCTTCTCTTTCCTTCTGCCGGCAGGAACCGCTTCGGTACCCGGAAGCAGCCACGATCGTTAATGCAGAGGTTTGTCATCTTCCTTCTGATCGGCGGGATTGGTTTCCTGACGCTCGTCGTCGTCATGATGAAGCTCGGCCGGGCTTCAGCTGACAACGACCCCAGCCTGGACCCCAAGTTCAACCCTCACATCCGAGTGGGACAGTAGTGGGTAGGGCCAGCCTCTCCTTCGCCGCGTGGCCCCGTAACCCCAACTCTTGGGCTCTTCCTCCTGGCGGCAGAAGTGCACCCTGGAGGGAGGCCCGGGGGTTGCAGCTGCTGGATGTGTCTCTGTGAGCTTCCCAGCCTGGACAGACAAGGTTGGTTGGGACACCTTTGAAGCTTGGATGAAGGTAGGCCAGTTAAAAGACGGTCCATCTCTCCCTCCTCCTCCTCCTCCTCTCCGCAGTCTGATGGACTTGCCAGTGGCAAAATTTTGTTGTCCTAATTATGCAGGTGGGCAGTTTAAGGACAGGATTGAACTAGCAATCTTAAAGATCACAACGCGCCCCCCAGCCTTCCCCACTTCCCATTTTTCTTCTCTCAGTGCTGCTCGGTAGGTGGGTGGGCAAAATAATTCCCCGTCTCTCTTTTCTCGCGACCCGGCAAGAGGGGCTTACCTTGAGGTCCAATGATTTCCCTGTTTGCTTTGTTTTTCCTTCTTTGGAGGCTGTTTGAGACGGGAGCGATCGACTGGGAACCGTGTGTGTGTGTGTGTGTGTGTGTGTGTGTGTGTGTGTGTGTGTGTGTTTTGCTCTGTTGCCGCCCAGCCCGTAGCCATTTTTATAAAAAAGCAAGGCCAGGTTTGGGGGTTTCTACGTCAACTAACGGGATCTCTTATCCTAAATCCCTTTTGGTGCTTCTGCACAGAGCTGCCCTTAGTTGTAGGAACACCACAGCTTCCCACCCCCCGAAAAAGGGAGCTCTGCCTACGGTTGAACTAACACCTGTTTTGCACCCCACTTCAGCCCTTTCCCTTAACACGGCTGGTTTCCAGCCTCCCTCCGCCGCTTCCCTTCTAAATTGCCTACTAGAGACGGGACGCTGGCTGCCTTGAGGAGCCCCACCGAGTGTGTCTTCGGCCCCCTCGGGCTCAGGGGGGCCATCCTGTAGGACCAAAGGCTGCCTCCACAGCCTTTCTCCGCAACCCAGGGGTTGGGAAAAGTCCAGGGTTTGATTGGCAGATGCTTGAAGTGCTGTGGAGTTGAGAAGAGGGGGACAGCTCAGTGCTTACGAATGGCTTCCCTTAATAGGCACTACACCCCCCCCCCCCAAAAAAGAAGGCCATTATCCTCTTATGCCCCAACTCTTTCTTGTCCTCTCCGTTCCAGACAACCGTCTGCCTCCCAGGTTCACCTCTGAAAAACATCCTCACTCCGTGCGGACGTTAAGTTTCTCCAGAAGGGTGGCAGACACCTTGCCTTCTCCTGAATCACTTTTCCCTCCCTTCTCTGGTGTTGGCAGATTTGGTGGGCCCGGCCGCTTGACTGAAAGCGATGGTCCCCATCCATTTTGAGGGTTCTTTTTTTGGGGGGGGGACGGGACACCTGGTGGAGGAAAGGCTTCTCTCTCGCCCCTGATGTCTGACCAAGAAGGGTGAGGCCCATCATCCTCTGCGGGTTTGGGAAGGTTTGGGGCTGGTGGAACGATGGGAAATGGCCCGCCAAGGTTTTATTTCTTGCCCCCGTGTACTTCGGACGTCGGACGGTGAGAGTGCAAAGCTCTAGCACATTGAAGCAATAGAGACATTTGTTAATATTCTATTAAACTCTCTTGGCTAATCCTAAAAGGGTATAGTGGCTACTCCTTTGTTGCTCCTTCAGAGGTTACTGGCTGGGATAATATGAACAAGCTTTTTTTGGGGGGGGGGGCAACCTCTCACGCTTGGCCTTGCTCGTGTCGTCCCTGGTTTCTTCAGATCATTCGTATTTTTCTTCCCTGTAATCGATGGTGAGATAGTCCATACAGAATCGGCAGATGTACATAGTAAGATTGGCGACTGGATGGAAAGGAAAGGATTTTTTTTCATTCATTCATTCATTCATTCATTCATTCATTCATTCATTCATTTATATCCCACTTTTATTATTTTGACAAATCACTCAAGGTGGTGAACGTAGCCAAATGTACTTTTCTGTCTCCTACCCTGTTGAGCTGGGCTGAGCTGAAAGACAGCCTGGCCCAAAGTCACCCAGCTGGCTTTTGTGCCTAAGACAGGACTAGGAGTCACCGTCGCCTAGCGATTGGCCCTCAAATCACCCAGATGGTGATTTGGTGGCTAAAGCGGGATTGGAACTCACTGTCTCCTGATGATTGGTCCAAGGTCGGTCAGCTGGCTTTCATGCCTAAGGCAGAACTAGAACTCTCAGTTGCCTGACTCAGTTGTTCCCCACAACAATCCTGTGTAGTGGATTGGGCTGAAACGGAGGGACTGGCCCAAACTCAAACCGGCTGGCTTTCCTGCCTAAGACAGAGCCAAGAACTCCCCGTCTCCTGGTGATCAGTCCAATCAGCCACCCAGGTTTCACGCCCAAGGCGGGATTAGAACTCACCATCTCCGGGTGATTGGACCAAAGTCACTAAGCGGCTTTTGTGCCTCAGGCGGGACTAAAACTCACCATCTCCTCCTTCCTATCCTGGGGTCTTAATCACTAGACCAGGTTGGACAACTGTGGCCTGTTTATGACGTGGACTTCAACTCTCGGAATTTGGAATTTGGAAAATTGGTTGTGGCAGGGGAAAAAATTAATGTAGGGCCTAGATCGGCGTCTTGCAACCTCAGACTTTAATTCCCAGAATTCCACAACCAGTAGAGCTGGCTGGCGGATTTTGGGAGTTGAAGACCACAACATTTAAAGCAGGCTGGCTGAGGGATTTGGGGAGTTGAAGTCCACTCATCGTAAATCAAGCCGGCTGGGGAATTCCGGGAGTTGATGGCTAGACTTCTAAATTTGCCAAGATTAGGGAATACTGGCCTAGATGGTGGAAGGATTGGAAACTAAACAACAGCTAAAAGACGCTGGCTTGTTACCCTAGGAAACTCACTGTTCCTTTTTCTCCTCCTCCTCCCCCCCCCCCCTTATGAAGCCTTGGTGGCGCAGTGGTTAGAGTGCAGTACTGCAAGCTACTCCTACTGCAATTTGGCAGTTCGAATCTCACCAGGCTCAAGGTCGACTCAGCCTTCCGTCCTTCCGAGGTGGGTAAAATGAGAACCCAGATTGTTGGGGGCAAGAGGCTGACTCTGAAAACCGCTTTGAGAGGGCTGTAAAGCCCTGTGAAGCGGGATATAAGTCTAAGGGCTATTTCCTTCCTTCCTTCCTTCCTTCCTTCCTTCCTTCCTTCCTTCCTTCCTTCCTTCCTTCCTTCCTTCCTTCCTTCCTGTTAGAATATATATAGTATTGCAGGCCAACTCTGCCCACACTCAGGAGTTCAATCCTGACTGGCTCAAGGTTGACTCAGCCTTCCATCCTTCTGAAGGCGATAAAACGAGAACCCAGATTGTTGCGGGCAAGAGGCTGACTCTAAATCGCTTTGAGAGGGCTGGAAAGCCCTGTGAAGCGGGATATAAGTCTTAAGTGCTATTGCTATCTTACCAAAGGAGGTCAGGGCCAAGCACGTCAAGAACCCATCATCTGCCTGCAAGGTGTAGATGCTGGCCAGGAGGGAGAAATAAAAACTGGTCACGTGGGAGAACTGTGAGAAACCCAAAGAAGAGCGGAGAAAAAAAATGAATGGCTTCCCGTTGCAAAGAGCAGAGCACCCTTCTCCAATGTGTTAAAAAATACAATTTTCACTTAAAAGAAAAAGAAAAAGAAAGAAAATAGGAAGAAGTGGTAGCCTCTCATATCTTATTGCTTCACAGCGGGGGGGTCTCCAACCGTGGCCATTTTAAGACTTGTGGACTTCAGGTTCAACTTGGGAGTCCACAAGTCTTAAAATGGCCACGGTTGGAGACCCCTGATTTACGGGAATGGCTTGAGTTACACACACACACACACACACACACACTGCCACAAGGACCTTCAGGAGCAGCAAAGAGCGTCGTGGGAGAGGAGTTGGCCTTCTGGGGAAACGCTGGCCATTTTGTGAAAGTGCCCATCACACGCTCTGAAAAATCCCACCCTGCGACCTTTGCTGATCTGTCAAGGCTGCAGTGGTTCTATTTGCCCTGACCTGTTTTTTTTTCTGGCACCACAGCTAGAGGTCATCTACTCCCCCCGCCCCACCCCACGGTAGGATGACTGAATTGCAGAAGAGGCCAAGGAAGGTCCTTTTACCAGCAGCGACACTGTGTAGTAGAAGCTCATGAGATCTCCCCTTTGAGAGACCAGGAAGTGGTAGAGATCCCCAATGATCACGCCAGTGTTGATGACAAACAGCACCCACGAGGCAATGATGAAGATGACCTTGCTGGGGAAGGTAACAGTTAGGAAAGGGTCTTTCCATGAGCCCATCTGCGGCATCTTGGGCAGCTGGGGTTCTCCTTAGTCCTGGGGGAGCTGTGACTAAGGAGGCCCTTCCTGGAGGAGGTGGGTCTCACAAGAGATCCTGGGCTGATGAAGTCATAAGGATGCAGAAGTTCTAGAAGCCGGCCGATTGGCACCCCCCCCCCCCCCCCCCCCCCAAAGCAGGTGGGTATCCGGCATCACCCAACAGCAGGTGTCAACCCTGAAGTTGACTTGACCGAAGCCCAGAAGATCGTGGGTTGCCCTCTCCCCTCTTTGGAAAAGCTTTATAGCTCCTGCTACCTTAAGAAAGTTCCAAACATTCTCAAAGATCCATCTCATCCTGGGCAACCTTTGTTTGAACTATTACCATCGGGCAGACGGTACAGGATAATAAAAACAAGGACAAATATCAGGGGTTTTCAATTCAAATGAATAGAATGCGAAGGATGTGTGCTTGTGTTTTATTTTGGTCGTTATAATGTGCACTGAAGATGGTATTTAACTTCGTTGTACGAGATCCAGTGACAATAAAGTCAACTAAGCCGAAGCCATCTTGGACACTTCCGTGTCGCCACCCTGGATGAGGGATGGGGGTGGGGGTGGATTTGAGATATCTGGGGTTTTATGGCCAAAACAAAACACTTTTCTCTTGGGAACCAGGAACATTCTCACACCTGGTCGGAGGAAGGCGGAGTTGATGTCGCCCGGCAACCAGACAGCGCCGTGATTGGATCACGTGACTGATTGTTTTGAGAAAGGGACAAAACTTTTAATTAGGTTGAAAACCGCAGGAAGCTTCGGAGTCTGTTTTCCCCCGATCTGTGCCAATATGATTTATCCAGTAAAGCTACTCTTGAGGAATCCACCTGCCTTGGAGTTTTGCTTGCTATGGATCTATTATAGTGGAACCCTGACAGCAGGTACAGATGTAGACATCCAAGCACTGTGGATAAGTAATACTGACAAACAGTGTAGGGAATCATGGCCCAAGTGTTATTTCTGCAAGGATTGAAGGGCAAGCTCCTTCAACAGAGAGGCAACTTTCAAAAAAGTGACACCAGGCACGCATGCAATTCTGGTCGCCACAATACAAAAACCAGGTTCAGACTTTAGAAAAAGTGCAAAGTAGAGCAAGAAAGATGATAAAGGGTCTGGAAGCTAAAACACACGAACAATGGGGAAAATTAGATATGTCTGGTCTAACAAAAGAGAAGGACTAGGCATGACATGATAGCTATCTTCCAGTACCTGGGGGCGGGGGGGTCGTCTCAGAGAAGAGGGGTTTGACTTAATGTCCAAAGCACTGGAAGGCAGGATAAGGAATAATAAAGATGGAAACTTATCAAGGTGAGATCCAACCTAGAACCAAGGAGAAATTTCTTAGCAAAACAATGAATCAATGGGAATGGAAGTTGCCTCGAGAAGTGGGTGTTTCATCACTGGAGGTTTGTAAGAAAACGCTGCATAGCCATTTGTCCGAAGTGGTATGGGGTCTCCTGTTTCAAGCAAGGGGATTGGACTAGAAGAACGTCCAAGGTCTCATATAATCCTAT